AGTCGCCATCTCTCCCGGTTAGTGAGAACTTGACGGGCTTATCTCCAATGTAGATACACTTAATATCTTAATGGTTCGGAAATGATGATATGATGATGATGATGACCTTATTATCGTGCTATGGTTAATATTGTTTGCTCCTAATAAGTGAGTGCTCTAGTACAGGTGCTAATCTAGTGGACGGTGTAAATGATGATAAGCTTGATGTTAAGTTTAAATTGGTTACTATGCTCATAAGCTCTTTTATGCAAATGTGTCAAGCTAGCCCACGAAAAGCCTTGCATGATCCTTGGTGTCTTTTATTTCGATTTTTGTCGGGTAAGTCTAGTGAGTACCTTCTCGTACTCGTGGTTTATTTCCCACCTGCTATGCAGATGACCAGTTCTTCTTTGGTTGTCGCAAGCATCGCGCCTTCTCCCCTTTGGGGATGAAGACTAGACCGTTAGGCGCGGTCTCTACTAGTTCTCGTGACCGATAATGCTTTTGTGGGACATGACTCTGATCTGGCAATGTAATTGAAACTATGAAGATATGTACTAAACTATGTTGCTTCCGCACACTCAAACTTGGTTTGTAATATTTTATTTGAACTCTGATGGATGTAATCCGAATGCTACTTGTGAAATGTTGTAACGAATGATGTGTTGTGTTGAATCATTACGATCTTGGTTTGTATGTCGAGAATTGGTTGAAATCCTTCGTGATTTCCGGACTACCGGGATTATGGGAGCTTAAGTACAGGAATTTGATCGCTTCGGTGATTGTTTTTGTACTTACGTTCTTATGATTTGGTCGGTTCTGTTACATCTATAGCAGCCCAGCCAGCCAAGCCGACTATCCTAGTCGGCCAGGCCGACTCTCCCAAGTCGGCTAAGCTGACTCCCCTATGTCCAGTCCGGTCACTTCGCTCAAGAAGTTCCCAAATCGGTTCGGTATGACTTCTAGTGATGTTGGGGCCGATTTAAAAGATTGGAGGACTCCCTTATTGAGATATTTACTTGATCTAAGTGCTAAAATTGATAAAAGTGTTCGATGGAGCGCTTTCAAATGTGTATTGCATAATGATGAGTTATATCGGAGAATCGCCGAAGACTTGTTGTTTAAGTGTCTGAGATCTGATCAAGCAAGAATGGCTATGAGAGAAGTCCATGAAGGCATTTGTGGATGCGAAGAATGTCAGAGGTTTGGGAATATTCAGCTTGTGAAACCATGGTCTTTTTTGGTTGGGGGCTAGACTTCATTGGCCAAATGTATCCCCCATCTTCAAAGGGACATCGTTTTGTGTTGGTTGCTATGGATTACTTTACTAAGTGGACCGAGGTAGTTCCTTTGAAGAATATGACACACAAGGAGGTAACTAAGTTCATCACTGAGCATATTATTCATAGATTCGGCATCCCTCAAACATTAACTACAGATTAAGGGACATCATTTGTGTCTAAGGTGAGGGAATTTACCGAATTATATAAGATCAAGTTGCTCAACTTATCTCCACATTATGCTCAAGCTAATGGTGAGGCTGAGTCTAGTAACAAGACTTTTATCAAGCTTATTAAAAAAAGATTAAGGAAAATCCAAGGAGGTGGCATGAAGTTTTGTCTAAAGCTCTATGGGCACATCGCATTTCAAGGCATGGTGCTACAAATGTTACTCTTTTTGAGTTAGTATATGGTCAAGAGGTCATGTTACCCGTCGAAGTGATTTGGATGTATACAAGCTTGCTAAACAAAATGATTTATCCGCTGTTGTGTATCATGATTTGATGATGGATAATATCGATGAGGTGATCGATGTAAGATTAAAAGCTCTCAAGAAAATAGAGAAAGACAAAGCTTGAGTTGCCAAGGCATACAACAAGAAAGTCAAGAGAAAATCCTTCGAAGTGGGAGAATTAGTGTGAAAAACCATACTACCAATTGGATCGAAGAGCAATCAGTTTGTCAAGTGATCACCAAATTAGGAGGGTCCTTACAAAGTGATCAAAGTCATATTCAGAAATTCTTATCTACTACAGACATTGCAAGGTGAATGTCTCACGAACAATTAAACGAGAGGTATTTGAAAAAATACTTTCCAAATGTTTGGCAAGAAGTCTAAGTACTCTTCAAGCAATAGCCGATACATGTATCGCCATTAGAACAAAAATAACCGATGTATACATCGCCCTCAGCCGCTAAGCGGCCGATGGAATGGGTATCGTTGCTGTTTGGTTTTGTTTGATTAAGTATTTTCAGGTTCATGCATCGTTCACCTGAAAACAGGAGGGCATATGTTGACACTCAAATTGGACCCAAGCCAGTTTAAATAGGCCCATGACAGTTTTAGCCTAATCCTAGGAAAACTTCATAAATCGACATGATAATAGTACCACATTGGTTTCCTTATGGGATAAGACCACCCCTACCCCTTATAAAATAAAAGATATATGTCCGATTGAGTTTCCATCTATCCAATAGACATAAAAACACAACAAATCAATTTACTATCTATTTTTATCATCTTTTCCAAATCTACCTCTTATCTTTTTCAAATCTATCTCTTCTCCTCGTTCTTCGTCGGTGCTGCATGGCTGGAGGATCGACGACGACGACGCTCTAGAGTGGTCAGGCCTGCTAGAGCAGCCCATAGCTGTTGCACGCCCCGATGTGGTCCCTCCCGGGCATGTGGGGTTTCTGATACCAAGAGACCTCGCCGACGTGTCTTGCGTATTGCGCTCATCGCTGGAGGCACAAGGTCCAGGTGTAGATATCCCTTAGGCGTTGGCCGATCCTAAAATCGGTTAGGCCTTACATTGTGCGATCTAGCTTCTTATCGAACGTGTGACCTAATTAAACATCAACACCCTCCATTGACCGTTGTGCGCGAGGCCGAACACTGGGCATGTTCGCTGGTTGGTGCTGTGTTGGTTTGGGCTGGCTGTTGTTGGTTTTTTGAGAGAAAAATACTGTTAGCTGACTAGTTTGGACTAGCTGACACCAATGAGCGAACAGGCTGACTGTTCGAAGCCGCGCCTCGCGTGGCAACAAAAATTGCCCTGCCTTGGTCAGAGCTCGAGTGCTTCTTCACAGCGTGTTGATTTGCTTCGACCGCTAGCGCGTTCCTGGTAGCACGCATTCACGCACGCACGCAAGCACAGCACTGGTGCTTCCCTTCCGCAGCGAGCCGTTTGACCCGCGACTCGATCGGCAGGCGCCGGCGACTACACCCAACGTCAAACGATACTATTCTTTATTAGTGCGCCTCCGATGAATCGCCTACTTTGACGGTTCTGGATGCCAAGCAAGACTCACGACCTCTTCTTCGTCCGATGGGCGTCTTACTCTCTGTTACCATCGGCAGCGCCTGGTTAAGGCAGGCACCACGCACGTCACCAATCATCGTCACCCTCCCTGTCCCTGGCTGTGGCTGACCACATAGGCATAGCCCATCCGCTCCGGCTTCGCTCCTGAAGACAGAAGACTCCAGCCGTGGGCGTGGACTGGTTTTTGGCAGGCAGTGGGTTCAGACCAGCAGCAACAGCAACTTGATGCATACTCCTGAAGACAGTATGCATTAGCCGGCTACGTACTATCCTAATCCTACTACTGTTCCCCAATCGTTTTTGGAGAGGGTGGGGTTTCTAATCTCTGCCGGCGGCGTTCAAATCGCGTTATGGCCGCTGAACAAGGTACCATTAAGTTGGGGTTTACTCAAAGCGGAACGCGGTGTGTGAATTGTAATTAATGGATGGAAAGTGGTTAAGGCTTCTTGAATGGCAAGGGGAAAAAACATGACCACGAAGATCATATGAAATTTAGAGGGCAGCAAGCGCAAAAGCATGAAAAAAAAATGCAAAACTGCAGGTGGAGTTTGCGAAGTATTGAGGATTCGGGGGAAAAAGTTTCTATGCGACAACGCCCTTGTGCGACACTCTATAGTTCCTTTAACAATTTCTGCACCCATTTTTTTTTGTTAAAAAAGCTGCTAAATCAGAATCTTTGAAGTTCAACAAGATCATCCAAAAATATCTATCAAACAACTCCATTCTGAAGTTTTGAAGGAATTTCAGGAACTCTTGCGTTCTGAGCAAGTCCATGCGTAACCAACCCACAACTAATAGGTTATTGTCATAGGATCAAAGTAGCTGGTCTCACTCTCACCCTTTTGCTTTGGACTGGAACCAAGTGAAGAAACTTTCCATTGGATTGGATAGACGCATTTTTATTTGATTTGACAATAAAATGCTCACGAGACACTCCTCTGGCAATTCCTCCACACGTTTCGTTGGAACAGCACAGCAACGCCCCCACTTGAACCAGGAAATCCGTTCGCCGCTTAAACACTGTAGCGCTACGCTTTTGCAATCATCAAAACGTCGACCTGTCCGCTATGATTAGGCGGCCAAGATTGCACGAATCCTGCGCAATGTCATTTTAAATCCCCTCACGTAACCTCCCTTTTCGTCCGGTCCTCTTCACTCCTCCGACAAAGTCTCCTTCTTCTCCCGTAAGGCCATTAAATATAAAGCCACCAGCAGAATTAAGATAAATTCATCGAACAAACAAAATTGATCTGAATTTCAAAAATTACGAACGAGATATATAAAATGAAAGCGAGAGGAGAAAAAGAAAAGAAAGACGAGAAGGAAGAGGAAAGGCGTGAGCGAGGTCGTGTTTGACCACCTCCCCTTCTCCGCTCGTCTCCCACCTTCCTCAATCCTCCGTTGCCTACCCCTCCGCGGCCCCGTCGCTGCTGGGCTTGGCTTTACCACTGGCGGGTTCCCACACGGGGGCCAGACGCGTCTACACCGAATCCCCCGCGCGATTTAACCCCTCTCGCCTCGCCTCGCTCGCCGCCTCCGCTTCCCTACAACGCGCACACCAAACGCGCACGCGCTGTTCGTTCCTCGGCCGCTCTCTCCATCTCCGCCCTCCCCCCCTCCCCCCAAACAGATCTCCGCGGGCCGTGCGGTTCCTCCTTCTCCGGGGCTATCGGATCTCCACGGCGGCTAGGGAGTAGGGATGGGCAACTGCTGCGTGACGCCGAACGGAGCCGCCGACGCCGGCGGCGGCAAGAAGCACAAGGAGCCCAAGGAGCCGAAGCAGAAGAAGGGCAAGAAGCCCAACCCCTTCTCGATCGAGTACAACCGCGCGGCGCCAGCGAGCGCGCCCAGGCTGGTGGTGCTGCGGGAGCCCACGGGGCGGGACATCGCGGCGCGGTACGAGCTCGGCGCGGAGCTCGGGCGCGGCGAGTTCGGGGTCACCTACCTCTGCACGGACCGCGCCTCAGGGGAGGCGCTGGCCTGCAAGTCCATCTCCAAGAAGAAGCTCCGCACCCCCGTCGACATCGAGGACGTGCGCCGGGAGGTGGAGATCATGCGCCACCTCCCCAAGCACCCCAACGTCGTCACGCTCAGGGACACCTACGAGGACGACAATGCCGTGCACCTCGTCATGGAGCTCTGCGAGGGCGGGGAGCTCTTCGACCGCATCGTGGCGCGGGGGCACTACACCGAGCGCGCTGCCGCCTTGGTCACACGCACTATCGTCGAGGTCGTGCAGGTGAGATTTCGTTTCGATACGTAGTAGAATCATTACTATTGGACAGCAAAATTACAAATGAATGTAGTTACATGTGTTTCGGTTACTCTCATTATGCCGCGTGGGGTCAGTTTCCAGTCACTAATATGACAACTTTCTCAATAGTTGATTCGATAGGTTATGTAGTAGTAAATGTTTAGCTGTGTTCACTCTAGCTACTAGCTTAGACTATCATTCCTTGGCTAATCATCCTGTAATTAGATAGGTTGTAGTTTCATTTCTGCAGTCTTTAACTCGTTTATAATCTGAACGATGAGATGAGTTAACTTGTTCATCTGTTATTTCTTGTACAATGTCAGATGTGCCATAAGCATGGAGTGATGCACAGGGATCTCAAACCAGAAAATTTCTTGTTTGCGAACAAGAAAGAATCAGCGGCCCTTAAGGCCATTGATTTTGGCCTATCTGTATTTTTCACGCCAGGTGCAGTTTATGTTCCTTTATCTATTTATCATTTTGCTTCATCAGTCATTGTCGATGATGTCATCTTGTTGACAATATGATCACTGGACTGTGGTGGTCTGTCTTATCTCTTTTGCTGCTTGCTTTCATGGCATATGTTGAAGTACCGAATTTGAATTTGTGTAGGCGAACGGTTTACTGAGATTGTTGGAAGTCCTTATTACATGGCTCCAGAGGTGCTAAAGAGAAATTATGGCCCAGAGGTTGATGTTTGGAGTGCAGGAGTGATTCTGTACATTCTTCTTTGTGGTGTCCCTCCATTCTGGGCAGGTTAGTTTTGTATCTGGAATGATGGACAACTGTGATACATACATCTGTATACAACAGCAGTTTAGAATGTTGAGAATTACAACAACAACAAAAAAAGAATACGTTCCAATCTCTTGTAAATTCAAATGTTCATTATGGAATATGGCATACTGTGTACTGATACTCTTATTTTTCTTGACATTGAATTTGGGTGTGATGATTGGGAGATGGGGCTGTAGAAGATAAAAATGCATCTTAATCTTGTGTTATTAAATGTTTTTGACATTTTTGTGTTTCAATGTTGCAATGCAGAAACGGAACAGGGTGTTGCTCAGGCAATTATCCGATCTGCCATTGATTTCAAGAGAGATCCATGGCCAAGGGTGTCTGACAACGCCAAAGACCTTGTCAGAGGAATGCTCAATCCAGATCCGAAACGACGATTGACAGCTCAGCAAGTGCTTGGTAATAATCATTCTCACACTAGATGACTATATTGTGTTTTACTCGTTTTTTTGTTTCAATTTGAAACCAGTGAGAATTATAATCCTAGATTGCTGAACCTTGTGTTAGCATTGATGGAAGATAATGCTATAATATTTCATAAGTGTTCTCCCCTATATATTTGTCTGATAACCTTGTATCTCCCTCCAGATCACCCATGGTTACAGAACATTAAGAAGGCTCCAAATGTCAATTTGGGTGAAACTGTTAAGGCCAGACTCCAACAATTCTCTGTGATGAACAAGTTCAAGAAGAATGCACTTAGGGTACATTTCAGTCTGACTTGACCCCAAACGATACCCCTTTAATTGTCATATTTGCTCTGGAATTCCTCACATCTTTGAATACAGGTCATAGCTGAGCATCTTTCGGTAGAAGAGGCTGCTGACATAAAGGATATGTTTGAGAAGATGGATCTTAACAAGGATCAAATGCTTAGTTTCGATGAGCTGAAGCTTGGTCTGCATAAGTTTGGTCACCAAATGCCTGATGCAGATGTTCAAATACTAATGGAAGCTGTGAGTTGACACTCTTTTCCTCCAGAACAGAAACTTAATTTGCACCTCTTTAATATTGGGCTGGAGTTTTTTTTTTGTTTATGTCAAACACCTTTGAATAGTATTTTTTTCAACCTAGTTTAATGTTTTTCTTTTTCATTTTAATTGAGCATTCTGTCACGAAGGTGATGTGTTGGGCCTTTTATATTTACTGTTTGTGCATGTCGTGCCAGGCGGATGCTGATGGAAATGGGTCCTTGGATTATGGAGAATTTGTTACATTATCTGTTCATCTAAGAAAAATTGGAAATGATGAGCATCTGCATAAGGCATTTGCATACTTTGACCGGAACCAGAGTGGTTATATTGAAATCGATGAACTCCGTGAGTCATTAGCTGATGACCTTGGACAAAATCATGAAGAGGTTATCAATGCCATTATCCGTGATGTAGACACCGATAAGGTTTGTACTTCTTGGTCAATTAGTTGTAAATGGATGTAGCTTTTTTTCTCATTTCTTGTTTAGCTCATTTGGTGTAATGATTAAAAGGCTGAACTCTGTGATACTGAGTATCCCAAACTGTTTTTGTTGTCTTGTTCCTCAGGATGGCAAGATAAGCTACGATGAGTTTGCGGCGATGATGAAGGCCGGAACAGACTGGAGGAAAGCATCGAGACAGTATTCGAGAGAGCGGTTCACCAGCCTGAGCCTTAAGCTGCAAAAGGATGGATCGTTGCAGATGACGAGTACGCGGTAGTCGGATAACACCCATAGGCAAGTTGTGAATTACAGATGGAAACCCTGTGTAGATTTTTGGGTTGTTTGTTGACAGCTCTTCTGCCCGTCCTGATGTTCGATTGCTTTCTATTCTTCGCTCGACGCCTGTTTGAAGCATTAGCTAGGGGGATTGTTGATGCTATGATTGTATTTAGACTGCATGATCCACGCCTCACTCATTTCCACGCCTTAGGGCAAAGTGTACTGTACAAGAGAAAGGGGGGAAAATGATTAGAAGGTTGTACGCATTTCTTAACTTCTGTGGATCCATTTGTTTGTTCGTTGTTCTTAATATCCTGATGACGAGTTCACGCATGTGGTGCTCGATAACAGTTGTTTGAACCTGGATGGAGGAATTCAATTTATGGGTCAACTGAACGGATGAAGCCATGAAGGTGCTTCACTCCAAAGTCTGCTGCTTTACCACGTCTCTCATTGCCAATTTTTTGAAGCGTAGATAACTTACTCCTGTATGCCATATATGGACAGTCCAGCCAGAGATCCGTTTGATATACAAAAGAAATCTTTGAATCTTGTATGGTCATCATTGTGAGCGTAGCGCCAAACTTGTGTGTGGTGTTTTCCTGTCCCTGCCTAAAAAAAGGGTCTGTGTCTAATGAAAACTCGATGATTTACCCCCTCCCGTCACCCGAGTAACAGAATAACTTAAATCACTCAAATTTACCAAACAAAACAAATTGAATGTTTCAAGGTGTTCTGTCACTCGATTCCCATAACCACAGGATCAAAATCCAACGAACCAAATAAAAGAAATAATAAACAGAGCGAAAAACAAAGAAAAAATACAATTTAATCAGATCAAATGTATGAAATGCAAATTAGAAGAAAATCAAAGAAAAAAACAAAGAAAAAGACATTTAACAGACCAGTTCTATAAAAGGCAAATTAGAAGAAGATCAAAGCAAAGCAAAGAAAAAAGACAGATTTAATAGATCAGTTCTATGAAAGGCAAAGTAGAAGAAGATCAAAGCAAAAAACAAAGAAAAAAGACAGATTTAACAGATCAGTTTTATGAAAGGTAAATTAGAAGATCAAAGCAATAAATCATACATAAACAAAGATCATAGAACTATTCAAGTAATCCAAATCACCATTCTCATTTAAAGAAATCAATTTACACCAATTAAACATATAAACTTGAGGCCCTGTTCGCTTGTCTTATGAGCTGTATTATTTTAACGAATAAACAGTGTTTTTCTACAAATTAGCGAACAATACTTTCAGCCATGGCACATCTTTTCAGAAGAATGAATAGGGCCTCACACCCAAATAGAAATAGTAAAATATGTTACAATGAGATGTAACTACTATCCAAGGAATGAATTTGTGCAAGGTTGCAGCGGCGGTCGGTCGGCCCTGGCTGCGACGCGGCCGTGCCGGCAGTGGATGGGTGGGGAGGCAGAAGTAAGCAGGAGCGCGGCGGCTCGGACGCTCGGTGCCTGGTCGACGGCGACGCCAGGACGGCAGGGCAGAGGGGCGCGCGGCGCAGGCGCGCCGGGGTGCAGGGTCGCAGGCGCAGCAGGGTGTGGTGGTGCGGACACCGGGGCAGGGTTGGACGCAAGGAAGAACGAGAAGCGAGGAAGAAAGAGTGCGCGAGGAGATGTTTACGGCGCCGAAGCCAAATCGTGTAAGCGCGTGTTTAGTTCCGGCAAGTTGGAATTTGGAGTACTGGAGTACTGTATCACTTTTGTTTTTATTTAATAATTAATGTTCAATCATAGATTAATTAGGCTCAAAGGAATCTCGAACGACCAAACTATGAGGAAGAACATTTAGTGCGCATAGGAGAGATGTAATAGATACGGTAGCACTTTTTTAAGAATTTAGGGTGAAAATAAACACGCGCTAAATGCAAAGTAAGTGGGTGCAGGGGTGTCAGTTAGACTGGAGTAAAAGCACTGTCTGATGGAACGAGACAGCCCTGTGGATTGTGGTGCTGCGTGAGTGCCTGACCTCGTTTAGATTACAAGTTTTTTCACTCTTTTTTTATCACATCAAATTTTTGGACATATATATGGATTTGATTGTAAATTACGAGACGAATCTTGGTATTAATTGCGTGATTGACAACAATAATTTTCCAAACGAAAAAATATCTTATATGTCAAATAATCTTGATTTCTAATCCTAATCTAAACAAGGCCCCTTTTCCAGCTGTATGCGGTGGGGAAAAGTGCGCGGGCACAGGATGATCGTGTCCGTTGCCAACACCAGATGGACGCCCAGCAAATCGAGTGACCAAAGCGTGAGAAACACTCACCGTAGAGATTTACCGAAAAAAAAGGGCATTGGCAATTTGGCATTCAAAAGATGGAACAGGTGGGTTTGTTCAGACGTGACATGCTACTACGTTTGAACACACAATTTAAGTTGGACTGGTGAGCCGGTCAACAGTCTGCCTATGACGCTAAACAAAGCGAAACGTAAACGCGCCTGAAAAATCGGCCGGTGCACGTAGCTGTCCGGGACCGAGTTGCTTCGCTGAGGCACCAGCAACCTGACCGAGCGGGAGTCGCCGGCTTTGCCGCTGCCGGCCGCCCTCCAGCTGACGTCCACGAACTCCTCCCTCTCTTCGTCTTCGGCGAGAAGCAGATGCGGATTAGGTGCAGCCGCGGCGGAGGCCGTTGGTGTCCGACTGTCCGTTCGTCCTCTGACGCCGCACACGCACGTACGCCGTCTGCTGCTGCAGGCTGTCGTCCTGTGTGATCCGCTCGGATTCGTGCGGACGCGGGGTTGGCCCGGTGACGGCTTTTGTCAAAGGATTTAAATGGTGGTTAAGTGACACATCGACAGGGGCGACGTCAGTACAGTACAGGCAGCAGCAGGAGCTCAATGAAAGGTAGTCTTGCGGCGGCTGGTGGTACTCTCGCTTGATGAGAAGAGAAAGAGACGTACGTGCTGATCCGACCGATCCATGGCTCGCGTAGCTTGCAAGCCAAGTTGCATGGAAATAGCTCTGTTCATTTAGTTGAAATTTAGTTTATACTGGTGCTTATGCTAATTTGTTGTAAGAGAAAAATATTTTTCGTTCGCTGAAAAATACTGCTGAAGTAGTGCAAAAGAACAAAGCCATAATTGTTCACTCCCTATTTTTTTAAGGGGATATTGTGCCAAAGCCTTGCCCAATTCCGATGACAGCTTTTCATTAGCATCAGCAAGCCAATAAGGCCGTCGTCGGCCCATGATCACGTTACTTCATGTACAAGTTTCATTTCCATTTAATGTCCTGATAATTGCCCTGCCATATTTGTCATTGCCTGCGCAAATTAAATGCCTGCAGCTATTCGAGTTAGGTAAACATAACCATATCATCATCAGTCTAATCTTTACCTCGTCACGCATCGGCACGCAAAGCCTGCCGTACCAACAAACCAAAACTCTCTCGCACAAGAGTGGCATACTTGTTGGCACAGTTGCACAAAGTATGCAGCCCGATAAATACCCGGCAGTGGATCATGAATTCATGATGCAACCAAAGCTCAACAGGAATACAAGATGCAGGGAATGGCACAAAATATTGTTGACATCATCTGATCATCAGACCCTGCTGCGTCCTGCCTGATACATAAGACAAGACGGGATCAAATCAAACGTTGCTTGCAGAAGAATAAAGACTTGATAATGCGATTACTGGTCCCATCAGGCTCTGGCCGTGCCAGAACTTACAAGAATCTGCCACAAGATCACCTTAAAATTACCCTAATCTGGGCCAATTTACACACATCAAATGGCAATGGTAATAATTTGTTGGAAACAGAAATTTTTAACTTTCTATTTCGGTAGCAAAGACAAAGCAGGCCGAATGCAACGCTAAGGTCGAGCCAGAGTTACATGGGCCTAGATTTTCCTAGGGCCTGCTTGTTTTGTTCGAGCCCAGCGCGAGCAGAGGTCCATGCTGTATTCGAGACTCGAGAGTGAATTCCAGATACCTGTCAGGGGCTGATTACCGCTGCATAACCCTATCTCTTCCTACCCCCGGCGGCGCGGCCTCCCCATCCCCTGTGTTCTCCGATTTGGGGGGACGTCGCTTGCCCGCTCCGGTCTGCTCCTCTGGAGTGCGGTCCAGCGGAGCCCGCTAAGTCGGCCGCCGTCCGTCTCTTCCCAGCCTCCGGATCCTCCACCGTCCGGTGAGCACGCCTCGACTGATTTTTGGGTACTCACGGACAGCATATGTACGGTTGCAAACGGCGCGGCGGCGGTCAGCCCGCCCCGCGTCCGCAGCAGCCGCGAGGGAATTTGCGGCGGCCCGCATAACGCCGCTTGCTTTTGCGGGCTTCGCGGCAGCCCGCGTAGCGCCGGCGCCGCATACCTCGCGAGTCGCCCACCTGCTGAACGTCCGCCCGGGCTCCTGCCGCATCCTCGTCGCCCTCACCGCCGCCAAGGTCCTGGGCGCGCTCGCCACCTCCGCCGCCGCCGTCTCCCTCCCGATCCTGTTCCCGCGCCTGCTCCGTCTCAAGGTCCGCGAGTCCTTCCTCCGCACCAAGGGGCGCCAGCTCGGCCGCGACCTCGCCACCGTAAGCGCCGCGAGGAGACCGTCTGGCGCGTCGTCCGCGCCATCACGCACCACATCCGCGACTCCATCGACGCGCGCACCATCCTCCGCACCACCATGCTCCAGCTCGCCGCCGCCCTCGGCCTCAGTTGCCCGTGGCTTCCCCTCCGCATTCTTCTGCCCAGGCTAGCTGCACAAACAGGAGGCTGCTTTCTCTGTTTGTCCTCCCTTCCTTGGCAGTCGCACCTCCTTGCGGGACGCCGCCGCGCCGTTGGACTATCTCGCGGGTTTGCAGCGCGGGTTTATGTGAATTGCGGCACGCGTAGCCCAGCGGGTTAGCGGCGCAGCCCGCGCCGTTTGCATCCCTAATTGCTTCAGTTTGGTGTTCAACAATTCATTATGCTTGTCGAATTGAACTAATAAATAAGTATCTGTGTTGGGTTTGTGTCGTGTACCCCTACATGATTTCAGTGTCAGACCAAACACTCAGTTCGTTTACTTGTATATGCACAGGTAACCGCATAAGGATTAAGGCCAAGCTCATGCAAAATGGTTCTATGTCAGGGCGTATCTGTTGGAAATGCTCAGCTGCTAGCTTTTCCTGGTAGATCATCAAGTCTTAAGAGCACCCGGTTTCATATTAAGACGAATCATTTTCCTGCAAGAGCTCTACGTGGTATGAAGACAGCAAATATATTTTCTTTTGGTCCACTTTAATTTCGACACACGTACTCTTTTAGTTCCCATTGCCAACAGTGTTTTCTTGATTTTCTGCTTTTTATATCTTCTTGATTAAACCTTTTTGATTGATAATTCTAGTTCTAGACAAAATATCATGAAGCTGGTTCTTTTCTTATGAACTGAATGTTTCTTCTGATACCCAAAGACCTCCCTTTAAACATAGGTCACTGTATGCCTCGAAGCAAAGTATTGTCTTAAACTATTCCACTTTATTCATACATGTTGCTTCTGCTCAAACAGTATATAGTGTGACTAGCACTATATGAAGTTATTTTTTTCTGCAGACAATTTGAGCATGTAAAACCACCTTTGTTAATTCTGAATCCTGTCCTAGCAAAGTCTGTAAAAATCAGCTATTCAGCTTCATAATTCTCTCTTCTCACTCTAGAATATGGGTAAGCATGCAGGACATGGGGCAATAACACAATGGGCCATTGAATTTACAGAATAGGATAACTGAAATATAACTAAAGAAATGCTGTTATGATTTAGAGCCTGTAGAGTTACCTTGGCTAAACCGATCCCGTGCTTCTCCAGAAGGTGGCTACCGCTATCAATTCTTTTGTGTGTGCTGGCATATTCATTTCACCTTATCATTATATGTTATTTCTGGCAAATATTTTGTTTCCTATTAAGTGTCATCATATACTTATAGTCCGTGTTGCTGATTTCCTTGGCACCTGACAGTTCAATATTTTGTGTTTCATGATTCATGAAAAAAAAGTTTTGCAGTTTTAGGATCTTTATTCCTTTGATTACTTGTTGAGGACCCATTTTCCGATATAGGTTTGCTGAAAAAAATATATAATGTTTAATTGGCACATGTTTCAGACAATGCAAAGTAATAAACAAAATACAATCATTTAAACAGGATATATGAATTTGAATTGTTCAGAGTTCCGGACAGCGCATATTATCAACAAGATATATAACACGATACGGAGTTCCATTGTCACATCTTTGATTATTGTCCCTAGTTACTATAGTGGATTTGATTTTCATTATTGTTTGTGTTTTTCAGTTGGTACTGATTCTATTCATCATGGCATGCCTACATCATTCCCAAGGGAGAATTCTGTCAGGGGCATCCCATCACTATCAAGACAGCACAATCAGCATCCAAGGACCGTTAGTTGTCGGGCATCCTCACTGGCATCTTTCAGCTACCCTGAGCTGACATCCAAACCCAGATGGTGGTGGAGAACTCTAGCTTGTGTGCCGTACTTGCTGCCACTGCACAACATGTGGTCTTATGCTGACGTGATCTACCAGCTGCACACTTACTTGCAGGGGTTTTCGCTGTTGTACACCTTCATCGATACCATGACTCTGTGTCCTGGGTGGCTCTTTCTGGTGATATTTATGACAGTGTACTTCTTCGTTGTGAGGCGGAAGTGGTCGCCGCACTTTCTGAGGTTCCATGTGATCCTAGCAATTCTTCTGGACACTGGCTCCCAAGCAGTGGCCACCATGTGTACCTGGATGCCAAGCATCGTTTATCAGGGGAAGCCAATGCAGTACTTCTGGATGTCTATCGCGTTCATACAGATCTTCACAGTGCTCGAGTGTTTGCGGTGTGCCCTTTGTGGAATGTATCCTGATGTTCCATTCATATCCCACACTGCTTTCATTCACTCTGATCTGAATCTGTTCAGATAGGTGCTTACTACATAAGTTCCAGGATTCAAGAAGGGTGGTTTTTTGAAATGGCTACTTACAGTTGTAGAGGGTGTGTTTTGTGTTTTGTTCATATTAGTCCTGTGTAATTCTTATCATTGGACCAGCTGGTACAATAGCATTCCAACAACACTGCAATTGATTTTCATTCCTCAGATGTTATTGTTTGTATGTTTGGCTACCTGCAATTTTTTTCGAGGGGCAGTACTTTATCCAAACTCATGTTCGGTCTGTACTTCAGGGCTGAAATGCCTTAAAAATGTGCATTATATGCCTCGTTGCTCTAGTTAAGTGGCGATGAAGATGCTACTCTGGGCACATCGAAAATGGAGGGGTTCCGAGGAAATTTGTAAAGATTTGCACTGCCTGTGAAATTCATCCTTTCCATGAGGAGCTTGTGAAAATATTGCATAACAGTTTGATAGCACACAAATTTCGACCTCAGGGAAAAAAATACAGTGAACATCGCATTTGATTTGTATTCAATTTTGGTTATGCTTACACGAATTTAAGTGCTTGAATGTTCAACTCCAACTCAAAAATAAAAACTTTTCCCAAAAACGTTATGTCTCCGAAATTTATTCTGAAAAGCTAGAATAAAACAAAACTGCATTGAACAAAATGATATACTCACGTGCCTGATACATTTATTTATTTATTTGTCATTATGGTTGGTGTTAGACAGTTATATGGGCCTTATTACGGCCTAGGCCCATTTGGCCCTGTTGTGTCATGGGCACGGCTGATTCCAGCCCATGTCTATCAGTTTAGGATCGGTATCGATCTAGCATTGCGTTTGGCAGCATAGAAATTAGTGGCGCGAGTTGGGGGAAGAAATTAAGGTGTGAATTTTACTTCTAGTCCTAATATTGTATTTGGTTGGTAGAGGGAAATAAGAAGGGGAGTTGAAGAGGAAATTCATATTCCTTATTTGGTATGTGTGTTTTTGAGTGGAAAATTATACAACAAGTCAATGATGGGAGGGGAAATTAAGCAAGTTAATAATTGAGTTGACTAATTAGTGAGGGGAGGGCTAGTATTTTTGCCAAACTCTTTATGTGATCCTGAAATTGCTTGGATAAATTGTATTTCAGGATGGAGAGAGCAGTTCATTGGCTATTAAAGAGAAATGGCAAACTCACAAAGTATATAAACTAGATGAATTACCCGTGTGTTGCTGCGGGAATTCGAAGACATAAATTTCAGATAAGCAAAGACTAAATTAGTTAGATATTTGGGATCTCACAGAAAAGTATGATAGAATAACTCCATTCAAGTTTTTGATTATCTGAAATTCATGTCTTCAAATTCCCTCTCGATGACGTGATTACTACTAATCACCATCAAACGGCTAGGATAATCACCAGCAATGGTTCGGAATATAAGGATGACGTGGCACTCTCTGGTATAAGAAAAAAATATGGTAGTGGGGTTTATCTTTATAAGAGTAATAGATAGATTAAAGAATGGTAGGCATTTGGAGCTCCTCTAACTCTGAAAGTTAGAGATTTTTTATGGTTGTCATACAGCAACACAACACAATATGCACATCGTTATTGCGATTTTTTTTCATGCGGAGAAGGGATGCAAATTGTGTGGTGTAGATACTGTTGCTGTAAACAATTGCGTACATGTCATGTAAACGTTACTTGACAACATACTATGTTGTCTAGGGTGTAAATGGTTGATTACATTAAATAGTAAAAATGGTTCTACACATGGTAATCGGTTGACAAAGAACGAGAAAAAACACATGTTTTTACATGGCTTGCAAAACCGTGTAATGAAACGAAGCGAAGTAACTATGCATAGAAAAGAGTAACGAAGCGAAGTAACTATGCATGGAAAAGAAGTAAAAAAGAACAAGTACATTTATCTGCTTTTGCCCTCAACATGAATCATGAAATGCACATTCGTTGTTAAGGTTAGCAGCGAATGAAGTCTATCAGTCATGTAAGGAAACTAATCAAGAGGATAAACAAATTAGAGATATTTATGGACATTTATTTATAGAAAGAGAGAGGTCGCCCTGTTCGCTTGAACTTATCAGCCGTACCGTTTCAGCGAAATAACAGTGTTTTTTCTCTCACAACAAATCAGCATCAGCTGTTTTTCCACCCAGCGGATCATGGCCCAAGAAGCTGACATGCACGGAAGGGATATATTCATGGAACAAAAGAAAATATTAATTACTCCGTAGTTATGTAAAGTAAACAAATTGGTTAGAAGTGTCGATTAGAAACAGTGCATTGGGAACCCGAAGCGGCGCACGAGCGCTAAATAAAGATTATATTCTTTTCTACATATCTAGGGGCGCATGTTTGTTTCGCGGCGTGGCTTGGGGACGCTCGCCCAGGCAGATCGATCCGGTTGCCAGGCGCTAGAAATCGACAGCCTGGGTAATTGCTTGGCCCAAGCATCTTTGTCAGGCTGAGAAGCAAACAGGTCTCTATTCTCCTAGCTGTCACTTTGCCTCAAAGTTGCAATTGTGCTTGAGGACTTCAGAATGGTGCTTATGTTTGAGACAGCAAACTATACGTTGTAAATAGGTTCGACCAACCTGAAGAATCACATGAGGCTGAAGGTGCAAATCCAACTGAGCCGGTGGAAGCTAGTGTGTCGGGATCTGAAAATTAAGCTGAACTTGCATCTCTGCTCCCAATTTCTCTGGCGCAGCAAATGCCATCTGGTTGGGTATGCTTCGGAAACTGACCGTTGAGGTCACCCAGTTTGTTTGGATTGTGAATACGACTGCTCCTGAATGAAGGGTTAAATTTGGAAACTATGTTTTAGCTTTAGCTAGATACTCCTCCATCACTACTTGCAAAAATGGGTGTTGGACAAATTTGCAGCATCCATTGGCCGTTTACATTACAAAAATGACTTGAGCTGTGAGCTGTGTATGCAGTTCCATTTCCATTTCATTGGCCCCTAGATTTGTTTCCACTAGAAGCTTGTTTGGATCAACAGCACATCACTTGTGCTTGTAGTAGTATATCTGTATATGTGAATAGATTAATGTAGATGCACTGGATCACCATGTTATCAATTTGCTGCAAAATGCATTGCTGATCGTAGCAAACTTTGCTGACACGGTGCCACGTGACAGTTGAACGAACTTGCTACGGACCAAAACGGTTGCGCTTCTTTTGACCACCTTTCTGTTGGGAAGGCGGCTGCCCTTTTAGGTCTTGACTAATCTTTTGTTAAGCGAAGAACAGGCCATGTCATGCACCTCAGTACCTCACACAGAAACAAGTTGAACCAGATCCCAATTTTTCTACCAATTCGGGAGACATCTAGTCAATGATAGTTTACTACTTTTCTTCAAAAAAATGATAGTTTACTACTCCGTAGTTTGGAAGTACCAGATATCGGTTGCAACGACCCATGATTTTTTAACGCAAAATAAGAACAACTTATACAATCTAGACATTTCAATTTCCACATCCACAAAATGCTTATGAAATGCAAGTTTCTTTATTAAAATCATTACGACAGAACATAAGCGCATCACTGGGAACTGCTGTGGTACCAATATTTCATATACACTTGGGCAATTTGTTTCCAGTCCTGCATGGCAAGATTTGTGTCCAAATTTGGGACTTTATAATATAATTGACACAGATACAAAATTTCCATGGTAGAAAATAGGAAAAATATATAGGTACAAATGTATTCAGAAGAAAAATAAACTGGAATTATCAATGTATTCATGAAATTGTTCATTGATAAATAAGAAAAAAATCTATAACCTCTCTTGTTACAGAGATCAACACAATTACTATTGACTCTCACGGTGGACCATATGAATTTTTACCTCATCTGAACTAATCAAAAGAATACTAGTTAGGACCTCCAAGGTAACGAGGCTGTTTACCAATTCTCGACAGCTGCTTTCAGCTACCAATCTGTGAGCAAATGCTTTCCTGAAGACCACCATCTCTGACTTTGCGAACAAAATTTCAAGAATAAGAAAGAATATTATTATTTACTTGGACAAATAACTATTCTTCTCGGGAACTAACTCCGCAAAAAGATGGTTTCATCCACCTTGAGAGCAAAAGGCCTCTTTGACAGTTACTTCGGCTCCAAGTGCATCTGCTGCTCAAGCCAAGAAGCAATAACACTCTGATCCAGTGAGTCACCCTGACTGCTCAGGTCAGGCCTATTAATCCATCGAGAAGCCATGCCTGCCATTTCACCCCTCTTGCCATTCAGCTCAGCATGGTTCACCAGTGACTGCACCCAAGACACATCTGGCTCCTCTGCTGTATTTCCAGGTTGCACAGGGTGCCTCAAGCGGACTAGTTCGTCGTCATCAACACCCCAGTCGACCTTACTCTTTGGGGTACCAATGTTGCCCCATGAGGCATTAAGATTCCGTGGCGATCCCACAGTTGGCACTTGATGCTTATTCAGGGAAGAGAACTGATCCAACATATCACGCTGTGTAACCGTAGCTCCAACACGGACACTTAGGGGAGATGTTGGCTCAATAGTCCGAGGGGACCGAGGAGACATGCAACCAAATGGAGAATGGAGAATTGATGGATCAAGACCCCTAGGTGAGTACATCCTGTTGGTATTGACAGGCGACAAAAGACCCTTTTGCTGATGATGAAACTTGTTTAGAAGGGCTGATTTGTGTGCTGGCGAGTAGACTGAGTGACCTTGGTCATTGGTGAACCTTGGCGACATAGCCATGTCTGAAGCATACATCTCTTCAAGGTTGGATGGAGCAATTGCTGTTGGACGAATACTCAGACCAGTAGAAAGACGGGGCTGGGATCGGCTGCTTTGTGGGAGGCTAAGTGCTCCAAGGTATTGTGATTCCCATTCCAGGAGCGCGCCAAGGTCATCAACCTGTGCATCCCTTGCATTGAAAGAAGATCGTAGCCTGCTGCCTTGGAGCCAATGAGCAGCAGCACCTCCACCATTGTTGGAGGCAGATGGTGACAGAGGTGGTGGCACAAAGTGCC